ATTCTCTTGTGAAAACCATAGAGGAATTAGTTTAATCAATATCATCTCTAAACTTCTCGCTGGCATCATACTCCGCACGTGAACGGTGCACGCGTGAGAACCCGGCTGGTTTTAGATCCGATCGAGGTTATATCGACCACGTCTTCACTCTTCATCAAAACCTAGAACACAGACACTCTTTTCGTAGACCCACTATTTTCATCTTCCTCGATCTGAAAGCGGTTTTCGACTCAGTCGACCGCTCTAAACTCTGGCGCTGCCTTTCCCCGAAAGGTATACCCGAGAAGTTTATTTCAATATTACAATCCCTCCACAATAATAGCCGAAGCCGAGTCCGAGCTTAGAGCACTTTTCACCCGAGTTCACTAGAGAAAATGGTGTTCGACAGGGTTGCCCTCTCTCTCCGTTTCTATTTAACTTTGTCATAGATTTAATTCTTGAAACAGCCCTATCCTCCTGCGAGGGTAGTGGCATCGATTTACTCCCGAATGGCAGACTGTCTGATCTAGAGTATGCAAACGGCATTGTTCTACTAAGTGAAGATTCAGGTAAGTTGCAAGCTTTTCTGGATAGTTTGACTGTTAGTGTAGCCACGTTCGGAATGTGTTTTGCACCTTCAAAGTGTAAAATGCTGCTCCAAGACTGATTTGGCCCAGTCTCCAGCGTTCAAAGCCCGGATGGGACGATGGATATGCACTACCGATGAGCTCTAATAAGAACGAAACTCGAGTCTGGTGCTTCCGAATTTACGGTTGACTGGATGAACTGAGGATTGTGCGTGAAGGTGAAGTCCGAAGGATAGCCAGTTCAAATAAATTTGAATTATTCCACACCACTACTCAAAAGCGACTGCGTTTTAAACGTGAACAGTAAATTAAGATGGTGAATGTTAGGGCGAAACAGCTGTCCAGAGCTCGTTGTCGGTCATCACAATGATTTCCATCGCATTCACGTGAATAATAAATGTTTTTACATTCTTTTTCACATTTGACTTAGCTACTAGGGGCTAGGGGTGTGGAATAATTGACATTGATTTGAACTGACTGTCTTTCAGACTTCACCCTCACACAATCCTCAGCTCTATCAATCAACCATTCATTCGGAAGCACGAGACTCGAGTTTCACTCTTATTGGAGCTCATCAGTAGTGCATATCCAGGCCATTCATTTTGGCCCGACAGCAACGAAGGGAGACACAGTTGGCTGTGTGTTAACTCTACTCAAAAGCGTTCCACCAAAGCAAATAACGGCAAGACTTGCGACAAACACACTAGGCTGGATTAATAGTTCACATTTAACTCACAGCTAATTGAGCCGTGAGGTGGGACAATTAACAATGATTTATTTATTGATTATAAAACTGTATAATAAACTATCAGAGAGGGCACCGCGGTTATACAAAGGTGCCTTGGGAAACAGTAAATGGGAACGTATGAGTGCCCTAGGTTGACTGATTTGAAAGACAAGAAATGGAACGTTCTAAATGACAGTCCAAAAGTAACCAAGTTAAGAGAAGAGTAACAATGGTCGAATTGGAGCGATCGATTTACCGTCAAGAGCTAGCCAGTAAGTGGTGCCCGTGTAAAACGACATCAAAGAAATCATTTCTTGTCGGAGAAAAGTGGAGTGAAAAATATGGGCTTGTGTAGGCGAAACCGAGTGAAAGAACGGAATAAAAAAATAGCGACATTAGTCCAACTAAGGGCTCATCCGGAACAGCCATGAAAACGGAAAATTAGTTTGGCGCGGCGAGATGGAGGAGAATGGGGAGGGGATATATTAGTCCTTTTTTCACACAAGACCAGAAAGTCACAAAGCGTTTGAAAAAAAAAACCCAGAACCAACGAATGGATCATAGAATCAATATTACATTCTCAGAGTCGCATAAGGCGACAAAAAGAGACAGAAAACAATATTCCTCAAAAAGCATACTCACCCTGCCAGTCCCATGAACCTCCCTGTACTTTGATACAGATGGAAAGTTGCGGATGACAAGGGAACAACGGACGAACACGTTTTGGCTGATGGTAAATCATCTCAGTAGTTAGACTTAGCAGTATCAAGCTGAGTCCGACCAGAACTCCGAAGCAGAATTAGAACATTGACGATATTGTCCGGACATTCGGGCTTGCGCCGACCTTCACACCGGATGGCTCCGAAGACGTGCATTATGTGGTACGTTGCTGTCCTCGAAGCGCTGTTATTAGTTTTAGAGTTGTGAATACAAACCCACCTTCTACGATCATGCGACCATTGCTACATTTATCAAACTAGCTTCGCGTTACACGACCTGGAGATGTGGTGGGCAGCGCACAGCTCTGCTGGATGAATCAGAAATACCTGGGCGGCCAGCACGCAATTCAAGCCGACTGGAGGGACAACGGAGATCACCTAGTTCAACTCCGGACAGACCACAGTTTGTTTCTATCAAGCACCACTTTCTCGCACACTACCTCACATGGATACCACCTATCGCTTCACAGCGATCGACAGCATCGCCATCGGTTATCGCTTTCTGGGGTCCATTCGAGACTACCACTCTTATTGGTCGACACCCATAGACACAGACCACGCTTTGTTACGAGACAGGATCTGTCTACGCCTGATACACAATCGTAACAAGGCGATTTGCGAATCGGAGCCCTTACAACGCCTCGCACTTCAACCACCGGCCGAAGGACTCAAAGAACGCTGGACGTTAATCATGGAAGATATCTAAATCTCGATCATGACAACGGCGGTTTATAGCGCACAAACAAACCACAAGCAATGGATCTCTTCAACCTTTGATGGTTTGTTGGACACCATCAGAACCCTTCCTCTAGATGCCAAATTTGTCACCACACGTAATCCCCAGAACGCTAGTTCATCAAGAGCCTGAGGAATAACCTTGAGAAGTGGCGGGTAGCATAATGTAGAGAGAGAGAAGGCTGCGGCTATTGATATTAGTCGCACTGGAGGGTTTCAGAAAAGTAAACGTGATTGAGGTAACTTAAAGAGTTTGATGATATATTAATTCAGGAAACTTGTTGGCATAGGTTGCTCTAGGCTTCCTGGATGGCAATATCAAGATCATCCTAGTCAAACTCGATTGTATGGAATCCCTTTGATTGGCTGCTTCCCCCTTCCTGAAAACTGTATCATTGTTTATTCAATAAAAGAAAGTAAAAATGAAAAAGAAAAGAAATGATTAGAGACCTTGAGCGATATGACGGAATGTCGTAAACAGCGGTGTTCATGCATCTTCTCAATTTCTTCGCAACTTTAATCTGCCGAAATCTGCCGTTTTCTCCTTGACTCTACACTCAACTTTTCAGTCGTCCCCCATCTCCTTCATCCCGATGGGCAGGACAGCCAAACGACAGCAACCAGAACCAGTACATGAAAGTGCATGATTAATGGTTGTCAGAGCTGAAAGGAACTGCTCTTCCGAGAAAAGTTTAAGAAGATTTATGAAACGATATATCGGTCAGATATATGAAATCACCTGATACAGGGATGTGTACACTTCCAGACTATACAAAGGTGACACCGCTATAAAAGTATTTGGTAGAAAAATTCGCTATCAGTCAATATGTAGGCTCAATTCGCGACAGCTACGCTCAGCTCAACACCGGTTCCCGGTATCCACCACTGAACAACAGGTCTTTGTGACTATGGGGTCCGCCCCGACTGCTGTTCATCACAAATTGGTGTGTAATAATAAAGCAGCTGACCTAGAGGGATTAGAACCAAAACATGATTTCATACTGACCAAGAGGTATACGAACCACGCATACACCTTTCCGGGTGTGGCAGTGATCACTGACGCGACCAGACACCTTGGATGGTTGACCGCGTCCGAAGGGCGAATGATCCGGATATCATCCCCTTATGAATTCCGGTTTTCCCCACAACACTCTACTGCCTTGTGGGCCAGAGTTTGCCTAGTACAGGGCTCCTGTTGCGCATTCCCAAGAAAAAGTACATGCCTCGGCCCGAGAAACCTAACCGGGTTCCGCCCACGAGCATATTATATGCTCCTTCTTTCTTATAACGATTATTATACAGTAATTTGTGTGACACATTTTGGATCATCCTTCTCCTAATCCTCCGCTCTTTGGATCCTCATGTTTTTCTGTGTGTGGTCATGGAATCAGTTGGTTTCGAAATCTGCAACAACTGCGGCCTCGTATCGTTTAGACCAACAGCCCGGTGGCTGTTCAAAAAAATCAAACATGACCCGGTGATGTTTAGTTCATTTAAATTCTTCCCCCACCATCCGCCACACAGTTTACTATTTTCTATCCTCCTGGATAGCGCACTATCTGGACTGTATGGCTGTCCACATGATCCGCATGACACTGAGTGGGAGTCTCCGAAACCATTATTTGCCCGTCCACCGCGTAGCAGCAATCCGTATTACGAAAAAGGCAAAATTTTATTTTTCAGTAAGCCAAGATGTGATAATTATCACCCATAATCCCGGAACACAATAATGGACATATGGCAGCTTTGTGGAGTAGCTTGAACCCAGACTTGACGCATAAAACACGCACACAGTCCCTCTTCCCGTTCTCGACGTACGCTGATGCGTCTGTATCGGCTGTGACATAGACAACGGTGAGACAATTGGGGATAGCCATTTCTGTGTCCCTGAATTAACGTCTATATTATATAAACTGGAAGAAAAAGTGGTAATAATTCACCCACGCGCGTACAACTATCAGACCAAAGTATAGGTTACCACTGAAATGTCCCCATGAACGCTCATCCGGAATAAAACTAGGGAACATGGAGAGGAGATCAGAGATTCACCTTTGCCAATTACCTGGAATATCGATATCAAACAGATGCAGTTTTCGATAGGTGCCTACCAGTCGACCTGACGGGTCAAATGTCAGACTGCAGTTGTACAATTTTCCATCTTCTCCTCGTTCCGGTATCGATCCGGCAACAAGCCATATACCATGAGTTCTATCAATAACATAGAGACGGATGCATGGCAAGGTTAGTTAGTGAGCAAGGATAAACTTGAAGAAGCGCACGGCTAAGCTGTAGAAGACAACTAACCGGGCAGTTATAATAAACAATCTTCAAGCATAAAACTAAAGGAAATTATTGTATTTGTTTATGAAAATCTCAGAAGAAAACAAGTGCGCATAGTTTACTTTGACCAATGACATTTCTTAGCCACGTGGTTATTTTATCCTTCATGTGGTCGAACTTACTTTCACTTTCATGCAACTAACTAGTGCATGAGGATGAGTCTGCCTCACTGGTGTTTGATGATGATGACGGCTCACGCTCGGCATTCAACGGCGAGGTCGGCGCGGAGTGAAATCCATTTCTGATTTCAGCTTAGGAGGCCATACACGGCTTTCAGACCCAGGGTGCTCCGGGTATTCTTCGAGTCTGTGGTGACCCGGGTGTTCAAATGACCACCGAGACAACAGCACCATCCCGAACACAGTCAGTGGAGAAGTGCTCCTCTCGAGAGTTCCGTAGCAGGACACTGGAGAACATGGCCGAAGCGTTAGAGCCGTTAGCAGCGTCAAATGGATGTCAATGAAATAGCAGCGCCGGAAAACTCCCTTGTTGGTACCACTTTGCATTCAGGATGTAGTGCAGATGCCAATAATCGGAAACTCCAGTCTCTGGATGTCTTTCGTTCTTACCGGTCACGTCACGCAGTCGAGGTTCAGGCCATAACGGATGGCGGCCCGACAGACTCGCACCTTAGTAAGAAAACTGAGTTTAAGGCCTGTCTACAGAGTCTCGTGGAGTTGTAGGAAATCCCTCTGTGCATAGTCGACACGAAACTGGATTTCGTCTTTGGTTTGGACTGAATGGTGGAGCCGAGGTACCTGAAAGTGTGCACTAATTCTTATGACTCGCCATTGTAAGTGATCGGGTATTTCGCTGGGAGTGGACATCAACCACCCCCCTACCCGGGCCTCATCAACGGACTGACCATCATTGCTTTTTATTCTACTTCTACTGCAGTTACGGTTAATTTCATTAAACTGGAACCGCCTCTTCATTCTTCCATTCAGACGTTTATCGGTGTAAGTCTTATGCGCATGTTGGTATTTATGTGCGCTAACTGTGGAACACCATTGTCATATTCTGGTTCTCTTGTTTATACACCCTTTTCTATTGCCTAATACATAAACCTCTTTTTTCTATTACAGCTCATGTACCGAATTTATTAGTTGAGTAAAGCGTATAATTCCGACTCCGAGTCTTCTTCAGCCTGCTCTCGTTTGTTTGATTCTTAAAACGTTACAATTTACTCAACTAATAATGGACCGTTATCTTCGACCCGACAAATTCGATGTCGACATGAACGCCCCCGACGCCTCCAAACAATGGACTGGATACGCACTTTCAGCGTTTTTCTAAAGCAAATTCAGTCCGATGGCACAGACAATCTGGACCTACTCATCAACTTTTTGGCGCCCTCTGCATATGAACATATCTATGATTGTAAAACATTTGAAAACGCCATCTCCCTGCTCAAATCGCTGTACGTTCGCCCCAGAAGCGTTGTGTTTACGCGGTACCTACTTTCTACTTGTAAACAAGACGCTGGACAGAACATAGACCAGTTTGTTCAAAACATCAAAACGCTCGCTAAAGACTGTAATTTTCGGTTCGTCTCAGCCGAGGAATACTGCGACGATGTTATGCGCGACGCATTCATAACGGGACTCCAGTCGCATGTCATTCGTACGAGGTTGCTGAAACAACCATCTCTAACCTTCCAGTCGGCATATGATATGATCAGGTCCCTTGAAATTGCTCAAAAGCAGTCGCGGTCGTATGAATCAGAGAGCGTTTCGTGTGCGTCGACTAATCCGCTTCCTCCGACCAATCCCGTCAGCTACCATGAACCCGTTCTATCAGCGGCTTCTAAAGAGACATGCTACTTTTGCGGCTATTCAAAGCACCCTCGTACCAAGTGCTCCGCTAGGGAGGTCGTCTGTAAAAACTGTGGAAAAACAGGACACCTCAAGCGTGTGTGCAAATCTAAGCCAACGCATCCATCGATCACATCTGCCCTTAGTCCCTTATTGTTCTCCACATTCACTGCCGGCACTCCCACTTGTTTGTCCCGTGCTACTACCACCGTTTTTGTGAATACCATTAAACTTCAAGCACTAATAGGCACTGGTAGCTCCGACAGTTATGTGTCTCATTTTATTGTAAATACCTGCGGTTTGAAAGTCTATCCTTGTGACTTTAAAATTACCATGGCCTCCAACTCCTTCTCTTGTGCTATCACTGGCTAGAGTAACGTGACATCCGATACCATGACGCTTCCTACGAAAACATACGACTTGCCGTAATGCGCAATCTGTGTGTTAATGTACTACTTGGCCATAACTTTCTTCGTTTGCATGATAGAGTAGAGATACCGTTCGGTGGCAAACATGGTCCTTTATCACTGTAACTTTTCCGCCGCCAAAATTGAATCACCTTCCTTGTTCGCCCACCTCTCTGCTGACTGTAAATCGATCGCTACCGAATCCAGAAGACATTCACCTGAAGATATACAGTTCACTAAGTCCGAAGTGCAACGTCATCTAAGCGATGGTAACATTGAACCTTCAAACTCCCTGTGGAGGGTCCAAGTCCTTGTTAACAAAAACGCCAACCACAAGAAACGAATGGTTGTTGAGTATAGCCAGACAATCAATCGCTTCACTCAGCTAGATGCTTACCCACTACCCCGCATCGATACAATGGTGGAAGACATTTCACGCTTTGCCGTATATAGTACCCTTGATTTGAAAAGTGCCTAACATCAGATTTCCATCAAAGACCACGAGAAGCCTTACACCTCATTTGAAGTATGTGGCAATCTCTTTCAGTTCTGCCGAATACCGTTCGGGGTTACTAACAGTGTCGTTTGTTTTCAACGCATAATTGATAAAATTTTAAAAGCAGGTCTGAAGAATAATTTCGCATACATAGACGACGCCACTGTATGTGGATCACGATCGAAATCTCGAACGCTTCTTGAAAGCCATGGCCAAATATGGTATCACTCTGAATGAAACAAAAACTGTAACCGCTCGGAAAGAAATCCATCTCCTTGGTTATCACATATCACAGGCACTTATCAAACCCGACCAAGATAGAATGAAACTCCTGCGTGAAATTCCCCCACCTGAGGACAACAAGGCCCTACGCCGTGTGATTCTTCTCTTCGCTTACTACTTGCAGTGGATACCGTCACTTTCGGACAAAATCAATCCACTCGTTCAGAACAAAACATTCCCTTTACCACCATCCGTCAGAAGCACATTTGAGGGACTCAAACAAGACTTGGAAAATGTCATGTTCGTGACCGTAGACCATGAGATACCTTTGGTCGTAGAAACAGACGCTTCCGATGTAGGTATAGCAGCATCACTCACCCAAAACAATCGCCCTATAGCCTTCTTTTCGCGCACTCTGACTCAAAGCGAACGACACCAATCCGCTGTCGAAAAGGAAGCCTGCGCCATAGTTGAAGCAATTCGCAGGTGGTGACACTATCTTCTGGGCAGACACTATAAACCTCTTACGGATCAACGTTCGGTAGCCTATATCTTCAATAACAACCACACTAGTAAAATAAAAAACGAAAAAATCCAGAGGTGGAAACTCGAACTATCGACCTACCATTATGACATACTATATCGAACGGTAAAGACAACTCCGTCGAGGACGCACTCTCTCGCAATGTATGTGCTTCCATCTTCGACTGTCCGAAACTGAAGACGCAACACCACTCACTTTACCATCCTGAAATCACGCGTATGATTCACTTTGTGCGCTCCAAAAATCCACCGTACTCGGTTGAGGAAGCTAAAACAATGACTTCTCGATGCAGAATATGCGCTGAATTGAAACCGCGCTTTCACAGGTCGCTCACAGGGCACTTACTCAAGGCTACGCAACCATTTGAAAGACTCAGTATCGACTTCAAAGGACCGTTACCCTCAACGTCTCGTAATCGGTACATTCTGACGCTCATGGTCGAATACTCCCGGTTCCTATTCACCTTCGCCTGTCCAGATATGCAATCTTCTACGGTCATTAACTGCCTCTAAAAATTATTTTTTATCTTCGGGATGCCAGCCTATATCCACTCAGATCGGGGTCTATCGTTCTTATCGTCTGAACTAACAACTTTCTTACGAGATAAAGGAGTGGCTATCAGTCATACAACCGCCTACAATCCACAAGCTAATGGTCAGGTTGAGCGATTGAACGGTACTCTTCGGAAGGCTATTTCCCTGGCACTGAAGACGAGGGGCTTAGCTATCTCCCAAT